ACGTCAGGGGGTAAAAATAAGAGTCACAGCTGTGTCCATTTTTAAAATATTTGGTAACGTATAGATGTTGCATGGAAGTAATTTATATCTAATTCCCTTATTTCCACCATTCACAAAATGTCCACTTGCTAAGTGAATCTCCTAAACTATAAAAACAAAGAAAGAATTGATGAAATCCAAAGAATGTATACATAAGGCAAAAATCTAATTCCAAGGACTGGGACTGATAAGATCAAATTTTATCACAGTATAAAGTGTGTATAAGGTGGATCAGCACGCCCTAATCCAGATTCTGGAGGTCTCACAATATCCAAAATGTTATTTGGCACAAATCCACAGTCTCCACTTGCATTTCGAACTTTCCACCATTGCTTCCTATCATCAAGTATCTGTCATCATGCAAGAAAATAAAGGCATAATTTTCATATGAAAATTAATCTATGAAGGAAGTTCAATTTTTACTCCTAGGCTTCAACCAAGAAATAAGGCTAAAATCTCTATAGAAAAGAAAATGAAGAACTGGAACTCATAAACCAGACGGAAGCCTGTATTATGTTAGGTAAGCACATCTCAAACTCAGAAAAGTAAGAACTTAGGAAAGAAAAAGATATAAAAATTAAGTTAGAAAATTCACTTCATGTGTGATTGTGGGCAAGTTATTCCTCCTGTCCCTTAGTTCCCTATATAGAATGTGCCTCCTTCATGAGGTTCCTGTGGGAATGAAATGAATTGGTATTTGTGAAGTACTTAAACAATGCCCGGCACAGCATGAGCACAGACCACTGGCATTATCTACTTCAGAGTATAACATCACTGCCCTCCATGAATGTGAAGCAGGCTTAAGTACTGAATCACTAGGGGCTTTTCTGCAGTACCAAACAGAGATCTAAACGTTTTCATGAGAAGAAGCTTCTTTACATTTCTTCAAAGTTTTTATATCATTAGATGGAAGAGACAAATGGAACGGAAAAAAGTATGCAGGCTCTGTCTGAGGAGGAGCGAGACAGTCACTACTCTTAATACAGGAAGCGCAAAGGAAACAGCAAAGCCACGGCAGGTGACTCGGAGACTTGATGCTGTCCAGCAGGCTTTTATGAAGGATCTGCTCTATCATTCTTTTTATCAAGTGCAAGATGCTGGCACTCAATAAACATTTGTGGAATGAATGAATGAAAAGATGAGGAAGACACAGAATTGTAATCCAGCAGAGTTTTATAAAGCTAGGGTATTAGATCATTGGAATCTACATAAATATGGTGGTATCTGTATTGTCATTCTGAAATAAACTGTAGGATTTTTTTTAGATATTTTAGATAAAGGTATCTTTAAGGTAATAGTGGTGACACTTTTGTAGAGATATAAAAATGACTGGCATAAATTTCCAAGTAAGTATTATTTTCCGTCTTACTCTATTTTTTTAAACTGTTATAAACGTTTTGAGAAAAGGAATCCTTTTACAATAGGATTTATGCCAGATATCAGACAGTAGACCGTCATGCTTGCGTTTTATAAAGCTAGGGTATTAGATCATTGGAATCTACATAAATATGGTGGTATCTGTATTGCCATTCTGAAATAAACTGTAGGATTTTTTTTAGATATTTTAGATAAAGGTATCTTTAAGGTAATAGTGGTGATACTGTTGTAGAGATATAAAAATGACTGGCATAAATTTCCAAGTAAGTATTATTTTCCGTCTTACTCTCTCTATTTTTTTAAACTGTTATAAACGTTTTGAGAAAAGGAATCCTTTTACAATAGGATTTATGCCAGATATCAGAGAGTAGACCGTCATGCTTGTTTATTAAAATTTTACAAGATCTTGGTGGTTTTGTTGGGCTCCAACCAAAACTTTCAGGAGG